ACCATTATTGGCTACGTTTATCTCTACTTAACCTATACTGTACCACAACGGAGCCGCCTCCTAAATTCCACCGCTCCCTTATCAGTGGTACTCTCCGTGTTTGGAGCAACAACACGTTGTGAATGTTATCGCAACAGTTACGATATTCTCAGAAAAATCTTTGGTCTACTGTGGTGGGCATTGACGAGGGGAGTACTACAGTTGGATCTCCAACATACATACACTCATCGATAGAACGTGTACCGTGGTGCTGGGAACGTTGGGCAGTTTGGAGTACGTGGACGAAAGTTTTCTCGAGTACATCCAAACAGGATCATAACATTCGCCACCCATCGACGAAGTAGATCTAAACTTNTCTCGAGTACATCCAAACAGGATCATAACATTCGCCACCCATCGACGAAGTAGATCTAAACTTTTCAACCCTAGTTTTGAACAGCCGCAGTCGCACTTGCCTGATAGATTCTGCGAATCCCGTGATGATCGCAGAAGAGTTTATGGCTTTATGGCAAGCGCTTTCACTGTAATTGTTCGAGCAAAACGCTGCGCCAGAGAACAAAAAAAGAAGCAGGAACAACTTGGGTGATTCACGTCATTGTGGAGTCAGCAGGAACGGATTCTGAACGAAAACATGTTGTCCTCGATATTGAATGAAAACAGGTTTCTCGAACTCCAAAACGAGTATCGGCACCGACAAGCTGAAACTGACCATGTTGGTAAACGAAGTATTCACCACGACATGATTGAATATTTCTACTTCTGTGGAGTGCCAAGGTCTCGGCAAGTACAAGGATTGCTTTGCACTGATATCTCGCGCTCGCGATGGGCGACACACACAATGTTGTCGACTCTCCTTTCTTTGCCGACATGCGTATTCGCGCTGATACCTCCAGCTATACCTCCATCAGCAGACATAGCACGTGTGTGTATCGTGGTGTGACTCCACACTCTCGCGTACACGCGTGCAGTGTTGTCTTTCAGATGACCAGGAAAGGGTGCACGAACAACGTTATCCGGCTCTGTTGCTGCACCCTCCGAAAGTGACGATCATTCTCGCGACAATTTTGCTTTCGTAGAGTTTCGTTCTGGGGGGATGTAACTTCAAGGCAGCCGCGAGTATATTGGAGGCACATCACGTACTACACTAGTGACGACGTTCCAAGCACGCATGAAGCGGATGAGGTGCTCCTTTGATCTGCCATGTAGAGCGGAACCTTCGTGTGTGATCATGGCCTCGGGGGTCGTAAAAGGAGATCCTTGCTCGCCCCTGAAAAAACTGCCAGTCCCCGGAAAACCCCACAAGAGTAAAAATACGACGCGGCCAAACACCCCACCGGTCGGAGTAATTTCTTAACCGCCCCACCGGTGGGGCGGTTAACACTTAAACACTCCACCACCTGTAGCTCGCTGTACAAGACTCCAATCAGTACAGGACTTTCAACGAATGTGTTGCGGCGTTGCAGGGGTATAATTGGATCCATCGTGAGGCCGAAACAGCACAGTTTTCGTGGTGCCACGATTTGTGGGGAACATGTGCCGTTACCCCACTGGTGGGGTAGATAACGTTATGGACCCCACCAGTTGGATCTCCCTCTACAAGGCTCCGATCGACACACAAGCATCTGCAGGAGTTTGTGGTCGATGCACCAACAGCGCACGGCAACGGGCAGCACCTGGGGCCGCGAACAGGTCAAGAAATTCCGCGGCATTGCGCCAAACACCTGACGTGGGTAGAGAACATTGCCATATATTTTATTCCAGGCAGACTCCCCTTCAGCTACACAATAGACTCTGCTGTACGTAGCCCTGCATGACTCCAATCGACACACGAACACCGGTAGGAGTGTGTGAAACACGCACGCAGAGCACATAGAAAGCTGGCAGCTGGTGAGGCGACCAGCACATGAAGTATTCCCGCCACACAGCTTTACATTCATCCAGTGGGAACCTTACACTTCCTTCCGGATTGGTGGGTAACACAGCTTACCCCACCAGCTGTCTGTCGTCATGTAAGACTCCAGTCGACACAGGACACGCTCAACTGTGTTGCTGCGCTGTAGGGCTATCGTATGACCCAACGTCAAGCCCAACGGTTTCGGTTCAGGTGCTACCACGGCCGGAGGGATATACTACGGATGTGCCCCACCGGTGGGGGACTTATGGCAGAATCGGGTACCCCCTGGAAAATTGGTACTTCATATATTCTCCAACGGGCATCTCCCCGGGCAAATGGGCACTCCCTCCCCACAACGGCCACTCCACCCGGCTAGCGGTGACCACCCCAGATTGAAGGGCACTCCCCCCCGTTCACGGGCATTCACCCCGACTATAACGGGCACCCCCCAGTCCTCTGTTAATCTGATGAGGGAATGCAGTTAACCTGAACAAGGAATACAGCGCATCTGATGACGGAATGCAGTGAATATGATGAGGGAATGCAGAGAATTGGATTCGGGAACACAGTGAATTTGCTCAGGGAATAAAGTGAATCTCATCAGCCAGCCCTTGCGGCTTACTTGATCAGCAACTAGAGTTGTATGTATCCGAAATGGAAAAAAAGTGAGCCTGATGAGGGAATCCAGCGTATCTAATGGGGGAATACAGTGAATCGGATGAGGGAATACCGTAAATCGGATTTCGAAATACCGTGAAAATGATGAGGGGATATCCTACAGTGACTGTGGTCAGGGAACACCGTGAATCTGATTAGGGACCGCATCGAATTTCATGAGAATACAGACAGTGAAAATTTCGAGGGGGTTCGGATGTCCATGATGAGAGAATAAAGTGAATCTGAGGAGAGAATACATTGTTTAGCGTATCTGCTCAATGAATACTGTGTAGCATCAGGGAATACAGTGTTTTTGTCCGGGAAGTTCAGTGCATCCTGCATCGTTCCCTTCGTCCAAATACGGCGCCAAGAGGTGCGCGTAAGCACAGGGGGGTGCCCACAGTGGAGGGGGGGTGCCTGTTGTTGACGGGGAGTGCCGCTGGTTGAGCGGGGGTGCCCCGAACTACCAGGGGTGGGCCAGTGACGGGGGGGGTGAGTACCTGTCAGTTGGGGGGAGTGCCGATTTGTCGGGAGTGTCCGATAGTCGGGAGTGGTGCTTGTTAGTCTCGCGGGGGTGTCTGGTGTGTAGAGGGGAATGCCCGTTGGCCCTGGGAGAACCTGTTTGAAAATTTTTACCCTTGTTAAGGGGGTGCCCCTATCCTGCAACAGCACGTGTGTCAAATTACTCCACCACCACTAACCACCATTAACCTCCCACCACTTTACAAAAGGCTCCGATGGCCAGACAAGAACTGAACAGTAGAAGTGTAAAAGTCGATGCACGCACAACACACAACATACAACAGCTCTGCACCACTACAGCACAGCAGCCAAAACACACGTCACAAAGGGGGGGGGGGACCTGGTAAAGCAATATCAATGGAAGTACACTACTTGTAGCAGCGGCTTCAGTAAACGAAGAATATATCAAGTCGTCGGACATACAAACAGACGGCGACTGACGGACACGACGCATCCAAATGCGGAGGACATGGTGCATGCACGGAACCTCACGACCATACACGGAATGTATGCATAGATCTATGAATTTTCCTCTTCGAAGTCCATAGACAAGCGATGCGCATCTCTCGCGCACAACGCAGCAGTGGATGTTCTATTTATAGTCTAGGCTGGGTATAATGGGGAAGGCAAGTTTTCCGCTTGACTTGCGTGGGCCTGTGCGGAGGGATTTGTTTACTTGTTTTCTCACCGCGACAGCTGCTGCTGCGGTGTGTGTGCTGTGTGCCTTGTACTGCGTGGTGTATGCTGTGTGTTTATGAGCAGCACGCTCAAACTACAATTGTGGCGATTGTGCTTCGATTATAGTCTTGTACGACGAGATACAGCTAGTGAAGTGTTCAACTTATCCATCACACCGGACGGTGGGGCACAGACTAGACCATTGTGCGTTGATCACCCCACCGACCATGGCACCACCAAACCTTTATAGTTCGGCCTCACCATAAGTCCCACGAGAGCCCTGCAACGCAGCAACACATTCGTACGTGTCTTTTGTCAATTTGCGTGTTGCGGGGGCAGATCCAGCGGTGGGTCCCTGGTGGTGTGTAACAGAGCCTTCTGCAAGAAAACAGAAGGAAGTGTGCGCCACCCACGTCAGGTGTTGGGTGCTATGCCGCGGTTTTTCTTGACCTGTTCGCGGCCCCCAGGTGCTCCCTGCTGCTGAACGGTGTGTGTGCATCGGCCACAAAGTCCTGCAGGTACTTGTGTGTCGATCGGAGCCTTGAAGAGGGAGATCCAACTTATGGGGTCCGCAACGTTATCTATTATCTAGACTACCCCACCAGTGGGTAACGGCGCATGTTCCCCACCAACCGTGGCACCGTCAAACCTGTGCTGTTTCGACTTCACGAGTGATCCAATGATACCCCTGCAACGCCGCAACACATTCGTCGAAGTCCTGTGCTGATTGGGGTCTTGGAGAGCGAGCTACAGGTGGTGAGGTGTGTAAGCGTTCACCGCCCCACCGGTGGGACGGTTAAGAAATGACCCAATCGGTGGGGTGTTTAACCGTGCCGCAAGAAATAATGCGGTACCCAGACTTGTATTGTGCACGAAAATCTTCTGCGTGCACCCCTAGACCAGGCAAGAATATTCACACGTTGGCCGATTCGCTGAGCTTGGCCCTATGCCCCCTAAACAATGAACCCATTCTCGCAACCTTTCACTTGGTGTGCCTGTGGCATGGCATGTTGCCGACCGATATGAGAACGGGTTGTGCCTTTTGCCGCGTATCTCAACCCTATTCATTAGTCCGCGTGGTTTGGTAGGGACAAGTAAGCTTACACCCAACGAATGTATGTGTTCTTGACGTCCTACGTCTGGAGACGGCCTTCACAGGGCGGACCAACCGCTACGATGTTTCGTACTCACTTGGTATTAACGACAACTAGTCAGGAGCCAATATACAGTGTTGTTCCAATACACGTACCTACGTTTCTACAATAATAGCAGTCTCACGTGGTGCCGGAAGACCTTCTTCCTGCGTAGCCGTGTAAAGAATATTTCTGATGGTCGAGCCCGCGCTTTTCACCATGTGGTGGAAGACGGTGCAGTATTCAGGAGGCTGCCCGGGTTCACTCCTAGCGAAGAGCTACACATGAGGCATAGGGCAAAACAACAACAAGGTACAATACGGACAAGCGTGTCGGTTGGGTCTTCGCAATCGGAAATGAGATGATGGAAGGCTCCAAGATTTCACACGGTGTCGCCTACGATATTTTTCCATTCCTCGTTTGTAGGACCGATCTATCCACAATAGCTCGCACAAATGACTGCCGCAATGTAAACCTTTCTTACTGCGCACAGTCTCTGGCGACCTCTCGGCTGTGATTGATGCTAGCCTCGGGTAGCGCGGGTTTTTTGTAGCATGTGACTATTTGCTCACGGTCGTGATCATGATTGAGTCGTGATCATGACTAAGTTATTTGACTGAATCATAGTAATGACCAAATTAGAGTCTTGACCTGGTGTGATGTTCCCGGGTTATGACTTCACCACTTGATCACGAGATCGAGTCTTTGAAACCTCAATCGTGATCGACGTTGTGACCGAAGTCATGCCCAAGTCGTGCCTCTGGCATGACATGGTTGTGATTACCGCATGGCTCGGTCGTGATCTAGTCATGGGAAGGCCTAAGGTTTTTCCATGCAGATGAAAACTGTTCGTATCTACCCTCATATGTGCGTTGAAGATGCTTGCATCACTTGTTTTATGGATAGCAGCGAAATCAAGACCCGGTGGGAGAGAGAGCGCCACAATGCAGCAAGCACTCCAAGGGAGCCGAGCCCCGTGGATCAACCATAACCCCACCCCAGGTCCTATCAATTTCTATTTGCGTAGCCACTTTTACAGTTCCGTTGGAACATCCTAATCCGCTCATGCACACACGAACACCCTCCCTGGTTCTTTACGCAAGTAAATGACCGCTATTATTAGTGGGAATGTACACGCCGGATGGGTGACCACAAGCCTATCGAACAATAATCAACGTGAAAAAGATCAAGAGGGGGAAACCCAGCCTCCGGATCAAAACCCTCCAAAAATATTCATCGTTCAATCCGACACTTTCCACGGCTGCGCTACTAAAGCAAGATCAAGACATGCATGATACCAGTCGCGCCCCTAGCTCCAAAATCGAGATCTACGAACGTGGTCATATTCTTCCTGTTGATTGGTTTCAAGCCTAGTACTGCTGGATAAGCACGGCTGACCCGGTTGACAGGAATGGAGAGATGGTAAAGTCGTTAATTAGGTTGCCCTCGTAGGCAAGGAACAGGAGAGAGTGGGCGCCTCGTACGCCACAAAGCATCAAGCAACAGTCGCCAGAAATTCACCGACGTAAGGACGCATAGACTTTCCGCAACTCGGAGCAATTCCAACTACCAAAGACACGTCGGGAGATACCCCGAGGATCCACGCCTGTGGAACGGTCCCTTGCACACTTTCTCGCTCTCAAACCACACATGAGTACTACCGCAGCAGCGTTCGTAAGGATGACACAATCCACTTCATGGACACCCTCCTCCCTGATTCGGTACATCGTCACGAATGCTGGCAAAAACCAAGGTATTCAAGGTACTCATAGAAAAGCAAAAAAATACACGAAGGGAAACCGGCCACCGGATCAAAACCCTCCGCCTCCAAGGTCATCCTGCTGAATGACTTGCCAACGCAAAATCAACACAGCAGTCACCAAATTTGCAAACCTCCACGTTCACAAATATATATCCGACATTAGACTGTTTCGGAAGATTTGCCGGAAAAGTCCACTTTCACTTTTATTGGGAACTGTTCCTGGGAAAGTTCTTGTTCATACAAAGTTCATTTCTAAGAGAAAAAAATATGTAGATGACGTGGACAGTCGTCTCGTGGTGATTGGTGTAGGTCTCGCCGCATCTAAGCGCGGCGGAATACAGGTTAGGCCGCGTGTTTTTTTGAATATGATACACCCGAGAGGCCGACAGGCGGGACACATCCCAACGGTCGCACCGAGAGCACGCTTCCGGCGTCACCAGCGCCCACAGACTTCCCCAGGGCCTCCCACCATGTCCCGCCTACGCATCCGAGATCGAATTGCTCGCAAGAAGCGAGCACTGCTGCTGATGCAGTGGCAGCAGTCCTGTAGCCTATACACCAGCATGTGGTTCGCTTCCCACGTCGCGGTCATCTACACTCTGGGTCGCCTGCTCATCGATGATATCCCGACCGGTGCTGCACGGAGGGCCGTAGACAACTTCTTCAGCCCTCAGGATTGCATGGAGTTTATGAGGTTTGCGCGAGACCAGGTAATTCTATCTATTGAGTGACGTTGGTAACGCTGGTGCTGTGTTGCTGCTGTGTGCCTGCTGTGTGTGCCTGCTGCTGTCGGGAGTGGACAAAGAAAGACAGATAGACCATGACCGCACACAAAAGACCGCGAGTTGTGCTGTGACGAGAGCGACACCCGAAGGCACGAAATGCACACAGCAAGGTTGAGTGTTGTGTCAACGAACGGCTACTGCATGTATTTTGACAACACTATCATGCTGCTTCGGATATTTTTGGGCGGCAGATCGTCATGCTGGAACTGCTCATGGTGCCTGCCATCATTCGGACAGACTGTGGCTTTGTGGTGGGCGGACGAGAGGCTCTTTGCGTGCTGCTGTACCGACTTGCGTTAACGTGCCGTTTAAAGGACATGCGTCTGGTTTTCGACCTGAGCGAATCCTGTATCTGCGAGACTTTCAACTAGATGCTACACTTCATGGATTTCAAGTGGGGGTTCCTCCTCTCGCTGGACGTTCAACGGCTGGTACCAAAGCTTCGTACTTTTGCGGAGGCAGTTTACAACAAAGGTTGTCCCCTGACACACTGCTGTTGGGCCTTCATCGACGGAACTGTGCGCGGTATTGCAAGGTATGATCCGGAATCCGTGCCCCCGTTGATGGGTGGTAGTTGTATAAAAGCACTTGGGTGAAACGGCGTCATGTATGTCCCGCTACATTTGTATGTCTACTTTGGCGAACGGTAGCTAACCACAACAACCACTCGTACGGGTTCACTTTTACGAATAAGGAGCAAGGTGGGTAATATCGACCCCTAGACTAAAGGGAACATTCCAGATGTGCTTTTGCCAACACGACGCAAGAAAATGCACTCCGCTATATGGGGCAAACCTCACGAAAACATTGTCGGATGCAAGAAAATAAATCGACCACCCCGTGCGCCATGTTGTCGACGATGTTTGCGTCTCAGGCCTATACTTGTACGCAACCCGCGCTTTTTCTACAACGGGTGCAAGAGGAAGCACGCTATCAAGTTCCAAGGAGTCGTGACGCCAGACGGGCTGTTTGTTGACCTGTACGGCGCAGAGGTTGGAACGAGGCACGACGGCTACTTGCTTGCGCAGTCTGCACTACTTGAGAAGCTACAGACCCACATGAACAGCCCTTCAGGCCACCCGTATTGCCTGTACGGTGATCCAGCGTAAGGTCAGACCGATCACATACAGTGCCTTTTTAGTGCATCTGTCAATGGCCCCCTTACGCCCGCGATGAGAAACTTTAACAAGAGCATGAGCCAATGCCGAGTGACGGTCGAATGGGGGTTCAAGGAGATGACTAGCAAGTGGGCCTTCGTTGACATGAAGTGCCAGCAGAAGTTCCTGCCTGAATGGCGGCAACCAGATTTCACAGTACTTTGAAGTAGAGCCTCCCACGCTGAAAGAGTACCTCAAGGTGTAAGCCTCAGCGGTTTGTCAGGGAAATATGTTGGTCCAATCGCACTTATGGTAGACAGGAAACTTGTTTGTGCCGAAAGGTTACGGCTTGCAAAGGGGGAAGTTGCAGATGGGGATTTAGTATTTCTTCCAATCAGGAGAGGACTTGTACTACCTGGTCATTAGGTTAAGAAGGAGGTTTCCGCACGAGGGCTAGGCAGTGTGAGAATTGCCACCACACCAAAGATCCCCAAGGGTGGTTTAGTTCCTATTCCACCGAGTGCTTCTGTGTTTGTTGGACAGCTGAGATGACGTCTGGCCTTTGCATCTGTTTCGTGCGGGGCTGGTTGCACGATGCACGATATAATTCGGGAATACTGCAAGTGGTATTATTTCCTTTCTATGGCTGCCCCTTAGCCGTTCCACCTCCGTCCCCACCCTCTGTGGAACTTCGACTCAACACGCCAACTCCAGTCGACGACGTTTTTATTGTTCAAGCACGCGCTCTCTCTCCGTTCAACCAACCAAAAACAAAAACGAGGCACATGCGTGCACGGTGCAACACTAGACTTCTCTTCTTTAACATGTACTCACCCCCCCCCGGCCTCCCCGGCAACGCCGTTTTTTTTTTTCAAGCACGCGCTCTCTCTCCTTTCAACCAACCAAAAACAAATACGAGGCATATGCGTGCACGGTGCAACACTACACTTATCTTCCTCAACATGTACTCACCCCCCCCCGGCCTCCCCGGCAACGCCGTGTTTTTTTTTTCAAGCACGCGCTCTCTCTCCGTTCAATCAACCAAAAACAAATACGAGGCATATGCGTGCACGGTGAAACACCAGACTTCTCTTCCTNGCGCTCCCTCTCCGTTCAACCAACCAACAAATACGAGGCATGCGTGCACCGTGTAACAGCACCCCCACTTCCCTTTCCCGAAAAAAATCCACCCACCTCTCCTCTCCCCCCACACCCCACAGCAACCGTCTCCGGACCTTAAGACTCTGCCTGGTGCTTCGCTAGCTGTGCCTGGTACTGCGCTAGCTCCAGCTTCATCTTCAACTTCTTCAATTCGAAGTCCTGTAGGTCCTGCCGCTCCCGCCTCTCGTCGTCCCGCTCGTCCTTCCGCGCCTTCCTCTCCCGGTCCCACTGCTCTTGGCGGAGTTCCCTCTCCCTCTCCCTCTCCTCCTTACGCTGCTGCTCGGCAAAGTCCCTGTCCTCCTTGCGCACTTGCGCAGCCTCCTTCTTCTCGTCCGAACGCCTACGGTCCTTGAACTCTTCCCGCTGCAACTGGAGCTCAAAAGCCTTATCGTGCGTCTGCGACGCCTCCCTCATCATCGTGCGGGGTTCAGTCAAGACAACAGGCGGAGAGGGACAGACGAGAGAGGCACAGA